TATGTTTCTCTCTCATCGATGTTTCTAACTCTCTATCTCTCTCCCTTCCTCTCTGTAAAAAATCAATAAAATATATTTTTAAAAAAATAAAACACTTATAATACCTCCTCCAGAGACCAATCTATAAGAAGGAATTAAAATAAGTACATAAATAAATCATTTTACGAGGACTAATTAATTAGGTGGTAAAAACCAAAAACAATACACCAAATCAACTTGCCTCTGTATCGAGGGCCCAAAGGGGACATTCCATGGGAGCACAGGGAGGAGAAGGCCCGCAGAGGAAGAAGTGACCAACATACTTGCTATCTGAACGCTCTGAAGCGGCGTTCTTAGGCAGCTCCGGCGTCCTGTGCTCACACGAATCGCTGGGAAGCCTTGAGAAACTATTTGATTGGTTTTCATTTCCTGAACGATGCTTTATTCCACCTTTATAGTGTTTTAAGGGTAATCTTGACCTTTGCCTTTTAAGGAAGAATTCTACCAGAACTTAAGGAGTACAAGAGGAATAATAAAAAGTACCAGAAATTAAGACATAAACTATCTCCCTAGTCTAGATATTATTATGTTTTAGTCTTTCTTGCTCACAGTAGTCTAATTTAACTGCTGGAAGTTAATTATTAATTTTTAATTCTTTCAAACTATTTTAAAGAAGAGAATGTAAAAGCATTTTAAACATATACCCACAGAATGTAAACTGCAAAAATTCAAATCTTTCTTTTAGCCTTTTTAATAGATGAGCAGGAGAAGAAAAAAAACAAAGGCAAACTTCTAAAATAGAATTGCTATGAATGTCAGCTACTTATGTGACTTTATTATTAATCAAAAATAGAATAAAAGACAAAAATGAAATAATTAACAAATAGTATAGTCTTATATTTTGGTTGAATAGTTTATGAAGGAATAAACTGCCAAGAAAAGACATGGTATCAGGGTTTTATTTGGTTTCTTTGCTATTTTACTGGAATTGCATCCTATTTTGCTTAAGTAAATACTAATGAAAAAGAGCTTGGGTATCATTTTTATCACAGATGAGAAAAGAAAATTTACTTAAGAAATATTATTTCAAGCAAAAAAAATATAGCTGAACCAAACATAATTTGTAGATAACTAAAAGCTATTCTCAATGCAAATTATAAACCTACCTTAGCTATAATTAAAATTACTAATTAGTCTGGGAATTATACAAAATATTCTTAAAAGATGATCCCTCTTATTTTGAATATTTATATTCAAAGTTGCTATGCAATAAACAAAATATTTAGATACACAGGCATATACCCAGTATATACTAAATGATCACAGAAATATACAATCTATTACTGAAAAAAATGCTAATATATCTGACATCCTATGAACTGGAATCTCTAAGATTATCACAGGCAGAAATGGGAAGGTACATTTTATTCATATATGAATCTTTATATCTGTGTGTATGTTCTTATTCTCCCAATGGGCAGATATTTAAATAAAATACCTATTTTATTCAGAATTATATGTATGACCTCAAAACTTGACATATAACTAACTGATCCCCATGATGATCCACAGGAGGGAGCATCAAGGAAATAATTTGCTTCAAAATAATGTTTTAAATAAAAACTCTTAAGAAGGAAGTGGGCTCCTATTTAGTTCTTACTGATGGATGATGTTTCACAGTACCTCTTTTAAAAGCTTATTAAATGTGGTCTTTTCAACTATCCATAATACAAACTTCATAGTTAAGAACATGGAATATCAGGTCCTAAAGTTATGTTAGAAGAATAAAGTTGATTTATTTTCCAATTTCAAGAAGGTAAAAATGGCGTCCTTAATAAATAAAGTAAAATCTCCCCCACCCCTAATTTAAAAGTATGACTCTAATCTGGATTGCCAAAACATCCTATGAATTTAATTAACTCTGGAAAAAAAACAGCTTAAATCCTCACACCCAGATTTGAAATCAAATGCATTTTCCAAACAAAACCAGATCCAAACACACATGTTAATCAACTCTGAAATTTATATATTCCAGCCATGATTATTTTCTCTAATTTTATCCAAATTACTTGTTATTACTGGATCCAAATAACTTGTCAGCTTAGGCAGCATGCTATGTAATGTCACTTTATGTTGACATTATGTAGAATTAACTAATTAACTAACCACTGCTTGGTTACATTTCTCACCTGCTTTGGAAATGTTAGTCAAACCAAATCCTATGCATTCTACTTCTTACATCTCTGCCTCTGCCTTCTCTTAGCTCAGGCAGCTTTCAAGGACTTTCATGAGCTGGATGCTAAGAGCCCCTCTGCCCTCATCTCCCACCCCACCCTAACCAACTTCCTTTATTGTAGCCAAGGATGAATTACTTGTGTTACCCAGGATGCACTATGCTCCCGCTTGTCTGACTGCTGCTGCACATGCTCCTCTCTGCCCTACAGCACCTTTCTCCTCATCTCCCCACCTTATACTTCACCACAGCAGGTTCTACTCTGGGGAACCTCTCCTAGCAGGAACTAAGGAAGAAATGGGGTAGACACTCCTTTTCTAGGACAATTCTTGCTTTCAAGTAAAACTATGACTGAGCAGAAAGTCCCAGACATCTTGGTGCAGTGGTACTATGGAATTCTGAGGACTTCCACCCCACGGGGAGCGAGCCAAAGGATCCCAGAGGGCCAAGTCATCGTATTTGTTACACTCTACACATTTTCACCTCTAAGACCGCAAGCTATTTGTAGTCAGAAGTTCAGCACTAATTTCACATTAATAGATTTTTACTCTTAGAAAGCAGGTAAAGACAGAGTTTGAACATACATTTTGCATAATATATTACAACAGACTACTACCTTTTATATTAAAAAGCAGTGTACAATTAGATTTTAATAGAGGTAAAAGGTCTATACACTATTACAATGAAACTTGATACTACAACACAAAAACTACATACTTCATTTCCATCTAGTCTGGATTTTATGTTTGAACAAAACTATGGCAAAAGTAAGTATATATATTTTCGACTATTTTCACCAATTAGGTTAGAGAAGATCAGAATCAAAATAAATGTGGACCCTACAAATTGCTTTCGAAAATTTAGGTTAATAGCTACTTAGTGCTAATCAGTGAAAGAATAGTGAAAAGCAACATTGCTTCTACGTGTACAGTAGAAAACCCTGCCCATTCCCCCAATTCTAATATTTTGCAAAATGACTTTAAAAAACGAAAACCCACAACGACACAATTCTTCCTCATCAATCTGAAATGGTAAGCCCCACACACTTTTTAGTTATAACTGAAACCTGAACATGCCATAATCTATAAAAAGCACAAATCAAGATGTCTTTTTAACACAGGCAAAATGGCATCCTCAATTCAAAAACAAAGCTCTATTTGCCACATTAGAAAAAGGCATTGGATTATGATAAAAATTCTGACCACGTTGGAAATGGTGCTCCAGGGTCTTGGAGAATCCTTACCTAATCCTATTCGGTTTGGACTTGTTTCTCGGCTACATCCCTGACTTCTGGGAATCTTGCTTCGTTTTTCTGAAGGGAGTGTCACCGGCGGGCCTCTTGAGGATCCCCCAGCAAGGCCACTATAACCACTTCCCAACAATTTCCCTGGAGAACTCGACCGGCTGCCAGCTAAAAATGAAGCAAAACAAAATTGAATAATGGATGTAATCAGGGAATAAGTGATAGTATTTCAGAAACCAGTTTATACATTCATTTGGATCAAATATAAAAATAGCTTTGTAGTTGGTGTTAGTACTAATTTTTTTAAACATTAGGAGCATGAAAGAATATTAAAGTATCAAGAATACATGGACAGTTACTGGTGCTGTGCTACAAAAATAACTGCAAAACTTCTGATTCAAAAAGCAGGATGAGTACAAATAGCCTCCCTGTTCCACAGGAAATTTCTAGAAATAATCTCAATGGCATTTATTTAGTGTTTTGTTCCTTTTTTCTGTAACAGTTGGTATGTCATAATTTTTAAGTATAACTGCTGGAAACGTATAAATGTTAACAAAAAATTTTTAAACAGTCGTTATAGAAAATGGATTCAAGAGAACTCTATAATTTAACAATTTGAAGAAAAGGGATAAGGGGAAGAAATAAATAGAAACATGATAAAAATCACAAAATAAGATGGTTGGCCTAAGCTCAAATATATCAGTAATCATAATAAATGTGGCTATGTCCTAGCTGGTTTGGCTTAGTGGGTAGAGCGGAGTGAAGGGTCCCAGGTTCAATTCCGGTCAAGGGCACATGCCTGGGTTGCGGTCTCCATACCCAGTGGAGGAGGGGAGACAGGAGGCAGCTAATCAATGATTCTCTCTCATCATTGATGTTTCTCTCTCTCTCTCCCTCCCTCTTCCTTTCTGAAATCAATAAAAATATATTTTTTAAAAATCTTAAAAAAATAAATGTGGCTAGATTAAATTCACCTATTAAAAGACAAAGATGTTTGGATTGGCTTTAAAAAAATAAAAGTTAAATATATGTTGTTTATAAGAAACAACATACCTAAAACAACAAAATAGAGTAAAACACAGCATTAAAAAAAGAACAAATGATATATTATATTGATAAACAAATTGTCCATGAAGATATAATAATCATGAACCTTTATGCTCCAAATAACATAGCTTTGAAATATAAAACATAAAACTAAAAATACAGGAAGAAATTGAAAAAGTCCTAATTATTAATATACCACTCAGAAAGACTAACCACTAAAAAAATAACATACCTCGCAGAAGTTGACAGAGTAGTCAAAATTATACAGACATGTATAAACACTCTCCACAGACACAAGTGTAACTCAACAAACGGAATACACGTTTTTCACCTTTACACATGTACTACAAAAACCAACTGTATACTAAGCCTCAAAGGAAATCTCAAAAACCTACAAAAGTAGCAGCCATACAGATCACATTCTCTGAGATGTATTCACTAAATTATAAAATAAAAACAAATTATATGCTTAGTAATTTTTATTATGGCTAAGTGACTAGATGCCTAAATAACCATTTCTTAGGGTCAAAATTATCAACACACCCAAATGGCAGTAATTTACTTAGATCATCTGCTTAAGTACAGAAGACAATGAAATTCTAAAACAAAGTGCACATTATTATTTACCAGAGTAAGGATGAGCCAAAGGTAGAACCTTCGAAATAACACTTAACTGGAAATTACACACACACACACACACACACCCACACACCATTCAAATGAATCATTAAGGTGCATACTCACAAAAATTAGTACTCTATAATGATTTAACTATAATTTCAAGTGAAATTTATTGCAAAAATCACAAGTACACATTACCATGAAGAACCCACCTCATGATCCATTAATTTTGCCCATAAAATTTGAGCATACACATAAACCATTAAGCTATGTATGTAAAAGGAAAAAGAAAATCTATTTCAAATTTTGGATTTTAACATACAGAAAAATGCAGAAAGATTAATTAAGCTCATAATATAAAAATTAATATTGTGCAAGGAACATGGGTGAGAGAGAAGGAACAAAACAACAAACAAACAAGAAGAGAAATGGCTTACCACCAGCAGGATTAGCAGATCTGGATCCTTGATTATGAGAGCAGACCAAAGAACAGGCAAGAAGTGGATTAAAAGACAATAACACAATACAGAGGTCAGCATGCAAACACATGTCTTTGTTCACAAACTATCTTTTTCTAGTTCTTAATCCTCCTAGTCTACTTTGTACTCACGTTGATTTTATATGTCACACTATTTAGCATTTATTTCTTGTCTGTACATGGAACACTTACAAACCCACAGTATGCCAGGCACAGTGCCCCACGTGAGGGATGCGGAGAAGAGTAAGAAAGCGATGACCCTCTGGGAGTACATCTGCTCTCTGGCTCCCAGCAACCTGAGGGAAGTGACTTACCTCCGCATCACTACCACCTGGCACAGGGCTCACCACCACGAGTGCTCAATCAGCAGCAATGAATTAAAAAGAGCGACTAACAGTTCACCAGAGTGCCTGATGCCAAATCCTCAAATATGTGATAGTAATCCTCTAAGATTTAAAGCCTCAATATTTAAATCTTCAAATATTTAAAATATGTGAACTGTTAAGAGCCCCAAATCTAATATCAATAAAACTGACATACTATTAAACCAGGACTCTGAATGCTAGTATATCTGCTTGTAATATA